GGGTTTTGATGTCAAAATCATGTGTATTTGTAGAGTCCGAGATCTTTTTAGATGGACGGAGGATAAATTTGCATGCTTTACATCTGCCACATTGATATGTGCCAGATACTGGGGATTTAAGCCATGTAGATTTTGTAGATGGAGATCGTAAATGGCTTGGGACCAGCATATCTTTGATGTTCCTTCCTCTTCTTGCTGTGACCGATGCATATGGTGTTATAACTTTCTGTAGGTGGTGATCTTGTAACAAAAGTGGCCAAAATCTATTTAGAATTTTGAGCGTTGGGTGCCACCCAGCATCAAAGTTCCCTATGCATCTTATCAATTGTGTATTGTCACTTGTACATTTATCTACCAGGAGGGTTTCCCTATCTGTCATCAAAGCTCGTTGGTATGCATTTTTCAGGCATCTATTCGGATACCCTTTCCTTTTAAACTGTTCTTTTAAAGTCTTTGCTTTGTTCTTAAAGTCCTCAATCGTGGAACAATTACGGCGTAGACATAAATATTGTCCCACCTGTATCCCTCTTTTAAGGGGGAGTGGATGGTAGCTCTCCCAATTCAGAAGGTTATTTGTCGATGTCGGTTTCTTAAAAAGAGTGGTTGTCACGTTCCCATAGTCAGTAATCATAATCAAAATACCCAAGAAGTTAATGGCCCTGCCACCCATTTCACAAGTCAGTTTCAAATTGATATCATTGTTATTCAAGGCATGGACAAATTCCTTAAAGAGTTCGGTGGTGCTAGTCCAAACTATCACTGCATCATCGATATAGCGTTTCCAAATACTAACGTATTTGGTATATTTGGTCAAATAGGTACTAAATACAGTGGTCTTCTCCCACCACCCCAGGGGGAAGTTAGCATATGAGGGGGTACAAGCCGTCCCCATAGCTGTCCCTCTCACCTGGTGGTAGTATTTACCCTGAAACATGAAATAATTATGCACCCTAAGTCATCATAAGACTCCCTGCATATAACTTTAAATTTACTTCATGCTTGGCTATCAATACTATATTCATAATATATAGTATATGATATATCCATATTAATACCTCTTTGTCGGTTCTATCCAAGAGTACTTATAGGTAATCTTACATATATACCTTTAATTTGATGTATAATAGATATGATGGAGCACTATAATCAAGAGAATATTCAGTGAATTCTATATATATATATATATATGTTTAATTTAATGTATACTCTTCATTTAATAGACTAATTTCGTTTTTATATTTGTAATTCACTGAATTTACCTTTTTCTTCCTCTACACACACAACCCATCATAATAGCACTCTAAATACTCTGTAATAGGTTTTGTATATGGATGAATAAATTTTGACCATTATGGTATATACAATAATAAAAGATAGCAGCAACAATGATATCTCGCACAGAGACAAGTGGGTGGAGCCTATGTGGCTCATTATACTATGCCCGCCCCATACTATCGACGTCATCGGGCCAACCCCACCGAATAGTTTTACCTAGCGCGGGAAATGCTGGCCACACCTCCTTTCTAGACAGGACATTTATTGGCCGTTGGGTGCATGACATAAGGTATAAAAAGAACTCTTTCAGCAGTTACACGTCTGCCTCTGACGAAGGTGCTTCTGTATTGCACCGAAACACGCGTTAGCCGTTTTTCTTCTGTCCCCTTTGTTGGGTCTTCACATTTATTCACGGCATGGCACTTTATTGTCCTCACATTTAATTGTTATTTTTTCATTTCTTATACATATGTTTAAATAGATAGTCTTATTTCTCCCTAGCACAGGAAGAGGTTTAGCTATATTGGGCTAGGCAGATACTATTGTATTCTTTGCAACCAGATACAATGTTGCACTTTAGGTTGCTAGATACTTAGGTTACTATCTGTCCTGTCTATTTTCTATTTTCTTTGGCTAATATTCTTTTCATGGATATGCTGTGAGCATTCTAAGCTTCACAATATCCATGTTATATACTTCCTCTCATTTTATATTCACCTATAGCCTCTATTTACATTTGATGTTATCTGTGGTAGCAAATACTTTAAATACTGGCACCCTGAGGTCAACATATACGTTTATACACTGACTGGGTTTGCCGTTGGATTTAGATTAAGAGGCTTGGCTTGTTAGTGGTAGCTAAGTAATATTATTTAAACATGTGTACTTTTTTGTTCCCTGCTTGATGTATTAGTTTAATATAGCAGTGACAAAATTGAGCCTGATGTATTAAAGCTCACAATAGTTGTCAATAGTACTGCTTTTACAGATAAACGTTATATTAGCATCATCCAGGGTTTTTGTCATTTCTATCTGTTTAATTCATATATAGGGGCATTTAGCTTTTTCTTTATAATACGTTTTAATTTGGTACAGACTACTTTATTATCTCCAGATATACACAGTTCAATACATCTCTTTTTTTAACATTTGTATGCTCTGTGTTTGTTTTCCTTTTTATCATTGCATTATCAGCACTCTTTTTGTAAATGCATTGTTGCATTATCAGCGCTCTGCTAATAATGCAAATTGCTGTAAATTGCATCATTGCAAGTATAAACTTTCCTAAAAGCTTACCACAGAAGCCTCCTAAATATCACCTATTTGTTAGAAAGAGCATGCCATTCGTCACCACCAGTGGGGGAAGGTTTTAAACAAACCTACGTCATACCCAGGTAGTCACCTTATGGAAGTGCTGTTTATTGGGTCGTCAGGGATAAGAGGCTGAGCCCTGATGTGACCTCATATATGCAGTGGACCACTGTCATCCCATAAGAGAGAGTTAAGTCATAGCCCCATTCACTAAGCGGGGTACCCAGGCTGGCGGCTCAGAGAGATGGTTCTTCAGGGATAAGAGGCTCAATCCTGGCATGTATGCAATGGACTGCTTTAATCCCCTGAGGGAGCGATTGGATCTGACCCCCGGTCACGAAAGGGGGTACCCAGGCTGGGGACTCATAGAGATATGCTGTTGCTGGGTCTTCAGGGATAAGTGGCTGAACCCTGGCTGGGCCTCAGGTATACCGTGGACCGCATTCATCCCCTGAGGGAGAGAGTTAGGTCAGACCCCCAGTCACTAAACGGGATACCCAGGCTAGCGACTCATAGAGATATGCTGTTGCTGGGTCTTCAAGGATAAGAGGCTGAACCCTGACATGGCTTCATATATGGACCACATTCCTCCTCTGAAGGAGGGAATTGGGTCAGACCCCGGGTCACTAAAGGGGTTACCCGGGCTAGCAACTCATAGACATATGCTGTTGCTGGGTCTTCAGGGATTAGAGGCTGAACCCTGGTATGTATGCAATGGACTGTTTTCATCCAATGAGGTAGCAATTGGGTCTGACCCCCGGTAACAAAAGGAGGTACCCAGGTTAACAACTCATAGAGATGTGATGTTGCTGGGTCTTCAGGGATAAGAGGCTGAACCCTGGCATGTATAGAGTGGACCGCTTTTATCCCTGGAGGGAGAGAGTGGGTCTGACCCCCAGTCACTAAACGGGATACCCAGGCTAGCGACTCATAGAGATATGCTGTTGCTGGGTCTTCAAGGATAAGAGGCTGAACCCTGACATGGCTTCATATATGGACCACATTCCTCCTCTGAAGGAGGGAATTGGGTCAGACCCCGGGTCACTAAAGGGGTTACCCGGGCTAGCAACTCATAGACATATGCTGTTGCTGGGTCTTCAGGGATAAGAGGCTGAACCCTGGCATGTATAGAGTGGACCGCTTTTATCCCTGGAGGGAGAGAGTGGGTCTGACCCCTGGTCAGTAAAGGAGGTACCCAGGCTGGTGACTCATAGAGATGTGCTGTTGCTGGGTCTTTAGGGCTTAGAGGCTGAACCCTGGCAGGGACACAAATACTGGCCTGGTGAGCATAGAAAAAAAATCTAGGCCTGCTTAAGCAGACTCCTTCCAAACTGCTGTAAAGGACAGGAAAGAAAGACTGCCTGTTGGGGAGGGGATCAATCTATTTATATCAATTTCAGAGTTCTATTTCCTGTCATTTCTGCTGTGAGGGGAGGAGCTAACTCATGAGTAAATGCTGCCATGTTTTATCATAAAAAATATATAGTGCAAAACTGTGGTTTAAAATGTGATGAGCTCACATACGCTAAGATGTCCCGACAGATCGTATCCCTAAACCTTAAGGGGCTCAACTCACCTAATAAACGGAGGGTTCTTTTCAGGGAGCTAAGTGCCTGAAAGCCGACATAGCTTTCTTGCAGGAAACGCACCTCCCACAGGGAACCCGGGTGACCCTTAGGGACCACACATTCAATACAGTGCACGAAGCCAGATACTTCCGGAAACGGAACGGTGTGGCCATACTGCTACACAAAGGATGCTCCTTCCAAGTACGATACATCATCCTTTCAGGGACCTGGTACTCCCATACCACACATCTAATAAACGTACATGCCCCGAATGACCCCCACACAGCTTTCTGGGATAACTTGACCTCCCTGATTAACAATCTTCCCTATGGCATGATAATAGCAGGAGGCGATTTCAATGCCACCCCAATCCCAGCAATAGATAGAAGCGCAGCGCCGGGTCAGAGCAGATTGCAGAACAGGGGCTTGCAAGATAAACTCCTCCACCACTTTATCACACACACCGGCCTCATAGACATATGGAGGACACAACACACAGACGTCAACGACTATACCTACTATTCACCCCCCCCACCACAACTACTCTCATATCGACCTATTCCTTATCAATGACATCACAGTTCCCAGAGTCACTAAAACCAAAATTGGCTCCATCACATGGTCTGACCACGCGGACATATCCCAAAGATCCCAAAACCAGGGAGGGACGACCTAGACCCAGACAACTATAGGCCCATCTCACTGCTCAACCACGACGTAAAACTCCTGGCAAAAATCTTAGCAACGTGACTATCCCCACTCCTACGGACCCTGGTCCACGCGGATCAGGTGAGATTTGTCCCAAACAGACAGCTCTTTGAAAATACAAGGCGAAACATAGATCTGATATGGAGACAGGGCATGGCGAGGGAGGCATCGCTGATTCTGTCTTGAGACGTGGAGAAAGCGTTTGACAGGGTCAGATGGTCCTTCCTGTTTGTGCTCCTGTCATGGCTAGGCCTCCCAACCCCATATGTTACAGCCATCCAGGCACTATACACCAACGCTAAAGCCAGGTCAAAGTGGCCAGGGCCCCTAACAACCCCTTCCATTTGGGTAACGGAACTAGACAGGGGTGCCGCCTCTCCCGATTATTGTTCATCCTAGCATTAGAACCACTCCTCGCCAAGATCAGGTCCCACCCAGACATACACGGTGTCAGGGTGGGAGGGGAACACTATCTAATATCCGCCTACGCGGACGACGTCCTCCTTACCCTGACAAAACCTACCACATCCATGCCGGCACTAACCCGGACTCGGGATACAAAGTCAATCTTGACAAATCCTGTGCCCTCCCACTCAACATGACTGACACAGACATAAACAAGATCACAGCACTACATCACATACAGATCTCACATACCTCCATTAAATACCTGGGCATACACTTGACAGCAGACCCGATGCAATTATATGCATGAAACCAAATACCCATGTTTCAAACCTTGATGAGGGACTTAGACAACTGGGTAGACAAACCGATTTCATGGATAGGAAGGGTACATTCTATAAAAATGAAACTGCTCCCTCGCCTACTCTTCCTATTCCAGGCACTCCCACTCCTGTTCACCAAGTCAGACCTTGCACCAGTGCAGAAAGCAATCGGTGGCTTCATAAGGCACAACAAAAGACACTGTGTCTCTCGTAACACTTTTTACCGTTCAAAACCCACGGGCGGACTAGGGCTCCCCAATCTCTTTTACTATTACCTGGCAGCACAGCTCTCCCAGGTAGCGATGTGGCATGCGCCCCCGGGGGAGAGGAGATGGGCAGATCTGGAGGCGGGATTGACAGGGTCAGACAGTTCTACATCGGCAAGAGCTATCTTGCGCACCAAATGCCCTGCGATCCTTAACTCCATACTGATCTGGGATAGATACACCCAGAAATACGGACTCCCCTCCCCAATGATGCCCTTACTAAGAAATTGAGCCTCCCCCCGGGAATGAGGGCCAAAGATTTTAAGAACCTAGAACAGATAGGGCTCCAAAGGATATGCCACATATACACAGACAACAAGGGAGCGACATTCGAAGAGCTCACAAACCGAGGGGCTCTCAAACCGGGAGATTTCTTCAGATACCTCCAGCTCAAAGACTATGTGAGCAAACCACATGTCCAAGAAATAGCGGCACAACATTTGACAGGATTCTAATGCATTTGTCTTAAAGAGGCGACCCCCCAAGGCATGATCTCCTCACTATACTCACACTTAACTTCCACTACAACCGAATGGGGCACACTGACTTACACAGAGAGATGGGAGGCGGACCTGGGAGAGACATTAGAGGGCGCAGACTGGCAGGAGATATGGGAAGCCAATACTGCAGTGTCAATATGCACCACCCTACAAGAACAATCTTATAAGATGATGTTCCATTGGTACGTGACACCACTACAACTACACCGCATGGGCAACACCCCAAGCGACCTCTGTTGGAGGTTGTGCAGGACAAAGGGGACCTTCATCCATATGTGGTGGGGGTGCCCGGTAGTAGGGCCCTTCTGGAGACAGATAGGAGCCCTAATAGCAAAGGTTTTCTGACGAAATATAGAGATAGACCCATGGACATTCCTCCTGTCGCGACCCAAAGATTACTGGACCAAACCAGACCAAAGACTACTACACAAACTCACACTAGCTGCCCAACTAACATTGTCCCAAAAACTGGCTCAAACCATACATACCATCCGTAGCTGCAGTAACACAAAAAATACACAAAATATGCCTTGTGGACAAACTAACAGCTGTCACTAGGGGAACACTTAAAAAATTTGAAAAAACATGAGACCCCTGGCTACACCGGGATAATGACGATTGATGAGACAGCAAGCATTACCCCCCCATCCCCTCCTCCCTGCCTTGACTGCTCCTAAACAAACGTAGTAAACGCAGGATCCGTGAAGAAGGACCTAGCTCCTCTGACCCTCTCCCCCCACCCCCCGCTCCCTCTCTGCTCATCCTCTTACCCATACCTCACCCTCCCTACCCCATCCCATACAATAATGGTAATTATACAGCATTAGAGGACACAGAGTATAGGATTGAATACGAACCCCCTCAACATGTGATGTATGGCTGGTATAAACAGATTCACCCCTACCTACAGCCACCAACACATGTTGCAACAACTGCCACCTCTGGCAGCTCCCATTCCCACCTCAACAGCGAACGATAGACCATACAGGGAACATAGAAGACATGAGAGTGAAAAAGGGGGAAACCAAAGGCAGATGGGCAAACTGAAGACAGACAAGCGATACCACAGAAAACCGATATCCCACTAAAATAGGCAATTCCGAGGAATCGAGCAGTGACCACATGGCCAATCTGGCCGACATGTAATCCCAAAAACACCCATTAGTGGCCCTTTTGCCAGTGACCCATATCATGCCTTCCAATTGTTTGAAGCCAACCCAAACCCAGTACACACTACAGCCAACCTGCACAACGTACCTAGAACGGGAAAACGATCACGGCTGAACAAACTAGCTTATACATAAACACTACAGAAGGCTAAACGATTTACGGATCGCTGCCCAATACATCCAACATTAAGCAATACCCTAAACAAGCCCAATACATACAGAACGCATTGGTACAATAGAGTTCCTATATTTTAACGAATATGTATTTCCTATATTTACTGTACCTTACTAACCAGACCAGAATTGAGCAAAGCGTGGGACACACATGCATCATTGTAGCTACGTGTAAATAACACGCAGAACAAGTCCGATGTACGATAAAAGAGAATACACCATTGTTGTTTTTGTGTCTTACGCTGTGCATTAAGCGCAATATATGCTTTCTCTCAACAACTTATGTCGTGTTACCCTCTTCCCCCTTGCTTTCTTTTCTGTAACCCCTACAGATGTTATGTTATTCAAAACTAAAAATAAAGAATATTTAAAAATATAAATAAAATGTGATGAGCTGTGATCAGAATGGACTTATTATTATTATTATTAGAAACCATAATATGCTTTTCCCTACTATTGGGACATGGCACTATATTTGTGACTGCATATTTACAGAAGCATGAAGATAATATATATTTAGTGTCAGTTATATATGGCAATTCATCAATGAAATATTATTTCCCCCTTTTAAGGTGTTTAAAATTTATTTTGCTTATCTTTGTATTTTTGTAACCTACGTAATTAAAAGTAACTATATAATGAATCCAGTCTTCTAATTTTATTTAGAGTGTTTGTCTTTAATACATTTGTACCAAGCTTTTCTATATTTATATATAAAATTGGGTGTTAAGTGAATAAACTGGTCAAATAAATTTGCTACAATTCAATATTTAATGAATTAGTGATCCAGAGGAAGGCGAAAAAACTTGGACATACAATGGGTAAAATATCCAAGTAAAAAATTCCTTCCTGACCCTATTATAAGGCGATCGGTTACAAGTCTGTCCCTGGATCTGTATTCAATGTATTTCATATGAATCATTTACCCCATACATTACCATCCTCTTCAGATCCTGTTTAGGTCCATGCAGCAGATTATCCAGAAGGTTTTGGTTTGTTCTGATGAGTTTCTGTTTACTATGTAGTCCCAGCTCCACACTAACTGGCTTCAGATTGTTCAAACTCTTGTTAGATACTCTTAGATTATTATGATGCATGATGACATCACTGCTAAGCGATATCCTTATAAAGTAAATAAGCACATCAAATGTCTTGGGGTTGTTTATCCTTTACAGTTGTCTATAACTACAAATTGTATATAAAAATAAGTCTGTACAATTTTTTTTTTTTATGTTTTAATTTTATGATTTAATTTTTATTTTTCAGTGACAATTTAATCAAAATTACTCTAATTCTTTGAAATGGTTTGGGAGAGGAACACTGCTTTACATATTCAAAGACAAATAGCTTTAACTATCCAAACATAAACTAAAGATAATCATCTATAGTCAGGGCCAGATTAAGAGCCCAGTGGGCCGGTTGCTGTCAATTATGATGGGCCTAATTACAAAATCTTATCGAACAAAAACACTAAAACAGTCCAACCTCCCAAGCGTCATGTATCTGATGGAGATGGTGCTAGATGCAGCTATTCGAAAACACATACCCTATGCCACTGATGGTGAACCTTTTTGAGCCCGAGTGCCCAAACCGCAATACATGCCAACTTTGTTTCCCTCAAAGTGCCAACATGGCAATTAAACCTGAATACTGAGGTTTAAGTTTAGAAAAAAACAACTCGTACAGTTGTCTGAACTAATTAACAACTTTTGTTTTAAAAGAAGAATACAACAGAGAGTTCAATGATACAAATTTTAAATAATGATATAAATAGATAAAATGAAGCTTATATTTATTAGTCTCTTCAACAAATGCAATACATACACACAGACTGCTGAACACATTCACACACCGACTACTTAATACATACACACACCGACTGCTTAATACATACACACACAGACTGCTAAATATACACACAGGCCGCTAAATACACATACACATTTTACTTGCAAATTACTACATGTACATATTATTCAGTATGAACAAGTTTCTGTGTGGGCATTTTTCTTGTGCGCATTATGACAGTGAAGTTTTTTTTTTGTGTGCTTTTTTCTGATCACTGCCCTGATTAACAACTACAAATGGATGGCCCAGATGAGCCCAAAGCCCACTGCACAGGAGGGGCCTTTCTCTGCCACAAGCTCATTGCACACTTTGTACTGCATGACTGATAGGATGGATTTCTGTCACGGCAGTCGGGGCTTACTATGAATGTCTGTTTGTGCATGAGTCTGTGTGTGAATATTAATATTTGTGAATGAGTCTGTGCATGAGTCTGTGTGTAAATATTAATGTTTGAGCATGAGTCTGTGTGCGTATATGAATGTGTTTGTGCATGAGTCTGTGTGTGAATATTAATATTTATGAATTAGTCTGTGTGTAAATATTAATGTTTGAGCATGAGTCTGTGTGCGTATATGAATGTGTGTTTGTGCATGAGTCTGTGTGTGAATAATAATGTCTATGAATGAGTCTGTGCACGTATATGAATGTGTGTGTGTGCGTGAGCCATTGTGTGAATAATAATGTTTCTGCATAAGTCTTTGTGTATATATGAATGTGTTTTTGCATGAGTCTAAGTGTGTATATGTGTCAGTGTGTTTGCACAGGAGTCTGTACCAATGTTTTTGTGTGTGTCCATGTGTGTATATAAATGTTTTTGAGAATATGAATGTCTATGTTTAAAGGAAAACTATAGGCACACAAGTTTTATTGAAGTGGTTTGCGTGTAGTGTCTCTGTCCACATAACCCTGCAATTGTAATTACTGCAAGTATGGAGAAACTGTAACAATTGCCTTGCAGGGTTAATTGGACACTCCAGGCACCCAGACTACTTCTGCCCATTGGAGTGGTCTGGGTACCAACTCCCATCACCCTTAACCCTGCAAGTGTAATTATTGCAGTTTTTATAAACTGCAATAATTACCTGGCAGAGTTAAGTCTTCCTCTAGTGGCTGTCTGTCAGACACCCACTAGAGGGACTTCCGGGTTTTTAAAACCCAAAAAGTGTTTTAAACTATTCCAGCGTCGCCAGAGGCCATTGCCGCACATGCGTATTAGGTCTCTCCTGCAGGCTGGGGA